CCTCGAGTTTATCACCGTGGATTTTACTGCGATCAGGACCCCATAAAAGGCCTATCACCGTAAATTGTTTTTTCTCTTCACAGTATTCGATTAGCCTATCACCGTGGGTTTTACTTCGAACAGGACACCTTAAAAGGCCCATCACCGTGGGCTGTGTGTGCTTCATTGTATTCCCAGAATTTATCTCGGTCGGTTTTACTGCGACCAGGACCACCTAAAAAGCCTATTACTGTGGGTTTGGTCTGCTTCATTGTATTCCTCGAGTTTAATTATTACCGTGGGTTTTACTGCGACCAGCACCACCTAAACGGCATATCACCGTGTGTTTTACTTCGATAAGGATCCCTTAAAAGGTCTATCGCAATGGGTTGTGTCATCTTCATTGTATTCCCTGAGTCTTTCACCATGAGTTTTACTGCAATCAGGACCCCCTCAAACGCCTATCACCGTGGGTTGTTTAAGCTTCTTTATTCCAGTACCCCTCATCGTGTGTCTGTAAAACATTTGGTTCCCGTTATTAGAATATAGATTGGCTCATTGACGAGTTATTTATTAGGTAAAAAAAATAATGATAAAAAGAATATGATATTCAAACATGGAACGATCACTTCAGCTAAACGTTTATTTTAATTGCTTAGATCTCGTTGACATGTTGTGCATCAGAAAAGCTATTTTTATTTAAAAATAAAAATTGAAAACAGTGTGATTTGTTAAAAAAAACAAAACAACAACAAAAGAAACACTAAAGCAAGACTAAAATTTCCCCCATTGCTGAATAGACGACGGCGTCTAGGTCAGAGTCTCGCATTGTAACATGGCTGGAAAAAAATGCAGATTTTATTGGACATGAGGTGTTTGGATGAAAATGGAGTATTTTTAAGTATAAAAACTAATTTAGAAACTAGCACTATATTGTTTTCTGAAGAAAATTAAATATTTCATAAGTGTCTATGATAATCTGTGACTTGGATATTTGCATTTATAAAAAGTGTATGTCAGTCCTGTGATCAGCAGAAAATTTCAATGATAAGGGGATGAACCTCATTGAACTCATTTTGCAAAAAAAATGTTTGGCTACCCCAATCACAGGATCATTTTTATGTGACAGGCAATTAATTCCGCTACAAAAATCACCTCTTAAAAATGAAAACTCAATTTTTCAGTTAGATTATGGGAAAATCAATGTTAGTGTCTGACCTCTGAGACCGAAAATTGACGGAAATTATCGAAAAGTGTCGATTTAATCGGAACACCTCGACGATTTTTTTTACGGAAATGGCCGAGAAGATACGACATCAGATGGCGCTTTTTATCAACTTCCTGGAAAATGTCAACAAGGTGGGGTCAGGTAAGATAAAACTTCTAAAAGATGATTTGACGATTGTCATTGATTTTGAATTGTAATATAATAATCACCTGCCAAGAAATCGTAACAATTTATGTCCTATATATGTAGGTACAAAATCATTAACCCTTTGAGTTTCACACAGACCAACACGGCAACACCTATAGGACTGCTCAGGTAAGACCATCAGACCTGAGAAATAATGAAAAACATTACAAAACATTGTCAGTTTTTGTTAACAATACTATGCCATCATACCAGTTGTATCTTGTAATAGACCCGTGGGACCAAATGAATAAGGTAAAGCCTCAAAGCTTTTGACAGAAATTGTACATAATTTATCAGATTATGATTTAAACCCATCTGCGTCTACACATTTAATGTTTTTAATACACTAAGAACTGTTCAACTGCACACTTTCGGCAGCACCCAACACAACCACACACTATATACCGTCATTTCATGTTAAACATGATATCTAAATTTGATCCACTTGCAGAGAACATAGAAGGGGACCAGATTATAGATTGATTATATAGCGAGCCGAAAGAGCAGGCCTGCGTGCAAAGCGAGCCTTACTGCAAAGCATACCTATGCTAGATAGTTTAAAAAACTTTTGCCAGAAGTACTGTAAAATTATGGGTAATAGACCAATCGCAACTTTTAAACTTACAAGATAAAAATTATAAAGCCGAGGAATTCTGATTGAAAATGGATGTGTAGGCTGGTCGCCTGCACATTTCTATGGGAACCATTATAGGACAGGGAACCAGAATAAGCAGAAGTAGTGAATAGGATGCCACTTTTAAAGCGGAGACTGTAAAATAAAAATGAATGATTATTTTAACCGACGTCCCTGTTCATAGGCCATCAAAACCATCACTATCACTATGTGTATCTAGCAATAAGGTCCCGGCCTGCTCTTGAAGCTTGATATAAACCTGGAGTATCCAGTATACCTACAGGCTACAGTTCATTCCTTTTTCTTTAGTTTATTATATATACAAGTTTTACTCCCCAAATATACATTGGGGTCTACTCTGCTAATCTAGAAGATTACCTTGATAATTTTGCCTTATACATAAAATGACTAGAAATTATGAAAATTCGCCTTAAAAAATATGGAATCCGGTGTCAAGTCAAAACTATTGTGTCTTAAGTAGAAACACAATTAAATCACATTTCCCCTTGTGACACTGTCTGTTACTTTTCCCCTTGATTTGACTGTACATTAAACATGCCTACAGGTCTCATCATGAGATACATGTGATAGCGGTAATTTCATTGGTGAAAACAACAAATGGTTGTTAAGTAATTGACATTCAAGCTTGTTCTGACATTCAGGCTTGCTTTAGGAGTGATTAATTAAATCTACTGATCATGAATACTAATTTGAGTAAAGGGTATACAAGAAGGTGACCACATTTATAATTGATTAAAAAAAACCTGTGGGGTAAATTGTTAATTAATTCATCATTACGATAGCATTGTACAAATACAATAAGTCACCTCTGCAACCTTCTACAGACTGGGCTATAAAAAGGGGGAATTAAGTTAACTGCAATCTTTCCAAACCTATGAAACAAGCTGGAAAGACTATGCTTTGTTATTTGTAAAATGAAAGTATCATATGAATTAATTCATGTTTCATTATAATATTGTTGATGTTATTTTAGCAAGTTTGTTAGATATGATACATGTAGTTCGTCATTCCTCTTGGCAAGTTTATTCTCTAACATGAAAGCAATAAGTTTAAGATTTGCAGTATGACATAAATCTCCCAGTTCAGGCAAAAAAATAGTTCCTACAACCAAATTGAACCAATGAGTTAAACTATACAGGTTATTTGTATGCTTTGTCATAAGTATGTATTGATAATATTTCTGTTTTAACAGCACACTCAGAAATTGTCCAGCAACAATTGAAACCAGGTTTACCTGACAACTCTCTATCTTTTTACTTTAGTAGATGTTTAAAACAACTTCACTATTAATAAACAATAAAGCTGACTTGAAAACTTGTAAAAAAGGTACATAAGTGTCTGCTCTGCTAATTTATATTTAAAAATGTTAAACTTCATTGAAAATTTTCCGGGTGGTCCCATATTGGTTTGAATCAAATGTTATTAAGTATTAGTTTTGGTTGGCTTTCACATAGCACCAACACTGTAGAAGTCATATGACGACTAATCCCAGCTTCACTAATATAGGAACATGCCAGGTTCCCCTTTGTGTGTTATTTCGGGGACTTAACTGGCACTCAAGTAGTACCACTGAATCTCTGTAAGGTAGCGAGAAATTTTCCTCACATGAAAGAATCCAAACCGAACCCACATCTGTGAGGGGCAAGTGGTTTGAAGTCAACAAACTCAACCACTCAGCTATGGACTATTTATAAATTATACAGTCTTGTAACTTAGGCTCCCATGTTTACAATTTTTTATAAACGTTTACACGATTGTTAAGAATCGAAATGATACCGTTTAAACGGTGGTACCTCTATGTTCTATACACACCATGTATTTGAGTCGCCAAATGATGTCTTTCTTTCTATTTTTTATACATGTACAAATAAAGAATGTGCAGGGCTCATCATGATTGAGTCAGCACACATTTTTTGCATTGTATCCCCATTTTTTACCAAAAATGTATTATGTCACGAGCAATTTTGCACCGTAATGCTGTGTGGAGGGTTGTAAACACATATTTTCCGTTTGTTTACTTTGGAATCAACCATTACAATTGATAAAATCCATGATTACAGGCAATGATTAAGAAATTTTGTAAGACAATATGGTCATTTCGATTAAACGGTAAATAATATCGTAAATGTTTATGAATGAAAATCAAAACGTGTTTAAACGTGTAATCGTGGGGGCCTTACTTGTAACAGATTTTATTATACTCAATCAAATGTCTTTTCCAGTTATTTTTCAATTGATATTGTAAAAAGTATCTATGCAGATAATTATCTGATTTATATTAGCTGATTGTCAGCACTTGCATCAAACAAGTACTATAATTATAAATTGTATTCAAATATTAATATAGATATGATTAGACCTGATCTATGTTTCCATTTATTCATTATCTTTTATTACTGTCAGTTAATACTGTTTATTTGATTATTCTGACAGGAATTGACTCTTTAATGGTGTTTCTTTAAAGTTAATTAATGTTATGCAGTCTGCTGATAACAATTAACTTCAAACATACCTGGCTTACCTGCTAATGATTTTTAATGAATGAAGTCCTACTGTTTTTATCATATTGATTAGCATTAGAAAATATGTAATTTTATTTTGTGCTTTGTTTGTTTTGAAATTCACAGATAAAGCATTAGGATATATAAATTAGGATATATAATGTATTAAACAAGGTCTTAAAATATATGGAATGATGTTGAACTTGTCAATATTTTTCATTACACCTTGCAGTGATTTTCCTTCTTAAATAACAGACTCCGAAAAATGGTCTCTTCCCAATTGAAATTTTCTTAAAAATCATGCAGTTTTCCCAAAAATCTGAACTTAAACCAGCTTTTTTACTTCCCAAATCAGCAATTTTAGCGATAATTTTTCCCAAAGTCAAGAGGCTTAATTAAGGCCTCTTCCCAATTAAGTGAGGGAAATCACTGCCTTGCAACCTTGCAATATGTGTCATACCAATAGTAGTAAGGAACAATTAATTGGAATCTTCTGGAATTGACTTTCTTTGATTACACAGCTAGACTAGCTTACTGGTACACATTTCATTTCTTTGTGTTCTTTAGTCTTAGCATACCCTGTTTGACAGGGTTCAAACACTTGCAGTTTGTGCATCTGACTAGTTGACCACATAGCAGTATACAATGTACCACCACTTGGCCTTTATTATCTCTTGACAATCTTGTTTTACATATTACTATTAGATGCACTTACATTTAAACAGGCATCAATGAGAGTGCATTTGGTATTGCACTACAAATTTAACCAGATACAAAAAAATAAATACCAAAATATACTTATTCTTAAGAAATAAGCTTATTATAGTGCCCAAGAATTGTAAATTTTATTATGAAGATTGCATGTTGTGGCCTCTTCTGTCAGTAAAGAATTGTCTCACTATCTAGGAAGTGATCGCAATAGTATATTTGCTAAATGCAAATATTTGTATATGTGTCGGCCCACCTTGATATATGGTATTTCTATTCTTTAATGACAACTTGAAGATAAACAGATAAAAAAACTGCCCGGATAACGAGTGTTTTATTTGGACAGATAGTAGATATTTATATAGATCACCATATTAGATAGATAAAATGGTTTCTACGTACTGTAATTGCAAGTTCACTGTCATGTCAGTCGAATGAATGAAAACACTGTTGTATATACTGATATATTCACAAAATTATTTCTACAAATATGTATACGTATGTATTTAAATATGTATATGTTAAAATACTGGGGCAATTTTCCCGTCTTAAATTGGGGGAAAAAACCACTTGAGGTAGATTTTTAGAAATATTTGAAAAACTTCCATTTAATACTAGAAATGTCTTATACATAATTTGTCCATAAATAAAAGAAATGAGTAAAAATGGTTCAAATTTTCTTAGGAGGTGAAAGAATTTGATTTTTTTTTGTGGTGGGGGGGGTTGCTTCTATTTTTAAGTCAGTGTGTCACTGAACACCCAAAATGAGAAACTGACAAAATAATGATAAATGATGAGAAACAAACAATAAATTCATTGATTTGGTTGGCCTTACTTAGATAGTGTTTGATATACATTATCAAGATAACACCAAAAATACCACGGTAGGAATGTAATATGTAAGAAAATAAAAATACCAGGGATTTAATTTTGGATTAATGTTCACAACTTTGGGCACACAGTTGGTTTTTTGGTGTCTTGAATTTCAATTTATTTCAGGTAAATTTTCCAAGTGTATAGATCTACATTATAAAGAAATAATGGTTCTAATTTATAATGAGCACGCACAGCTGCATGAACGGTTTGAAAAT